CTCTTCATAAATATCACCTTCCCTTGGTGTGGTCAGTAGTAGCTTCTCACACACCGGCTCATTCTTAAGCCTTAACAGTATTGTTACAAGATTTAGAATCAGAATGACTACTTCTACAGCCTGGATCGCCTGTGTAAACTGACTTTGGTTGCTCCACTTGAGGATTAACTAATAAAATGTATGTGGAAGACTTTAGGAAAACTTTTTATATCAAGTGGTAGTGATAAAGTTAAAATAAGGTAAAAGTTAAATATCAAGAGGAGAAAAAACAGGAAATAAGGTGGGTTTTTTTTAAGGAAGATTTTTTTTTAACAGCATATGATAGTGTTCTTATTTCACAATTTAAGAAAATTCAATAATAGTAGATAATGTTAAATGGTAGATAGGTTAGCCTTGTAAACTTCACCTTGAAATAAACTTATTAAATTTATTATTAATACTCTAATTACGACCTAATTTCCTTTCCATCGGCGCTTAAATGCACTGTTATCAAACTGAAAAAAAAAATGGTTGGGATTTAGAAGATTAAAATTTAGGTGTTACTCCTTTATTTTCTAAATGTGAATCCATATTTTTTCATCTTTGTACACTTCCTTTTCTTGACTGTAAAATCAGATGAAGAATATTATCACCATGAAAGTAGTCACCATTTATTTTAAGTCTTATGGCAAATACTGAACTAAATTGTTTGAAGTATTTTTAATCTTTACAGCAACCATATGAAGTAGCTTCAAGTATTAACATTTACAACATGAGAAAACTGAGGGTTAGCCAGTAATCTGAAGGTCATGGAACTGGGATTAAATCTATGACCTGTCCTCTTAACCTCAAAATTATGCTGCCTCCCATTTGCCTCACAGTTGTTTTGAGGCTCATTACCAGTATTTCCTAAAATGCTTTATAACTATAAAGTATCATTAGCAATTATTATTATATTTGGGGGAAGTTTTTTGGATAAATGACGATAATAGATAATAGGTTAATCAACAAGTTTTTCATATGTGGCATATCTTAGTGGCTATCTAAAATGGCTCTTCACATAATATATTAACATGCTATTTTAAATACTAATCATAACACAAAACCAATTATAATGAACAGAAAATGGAGTGAAAATTTTAAAATTTGTGTATAAAATCATACCAGTAAAAAAAGTAAATTTTAATAAAATCAAAACATCTAAAAAAGGAACACTTAATTACTAAATAATACCACAAATGAAGCATTTTTTTTATTCCTTCTTGAAACAATGATTTTTTTTTTTTTTAAAGTAAGTTTCATGACTGGAAATATAGCTTAGTTGGTAGAGTGCTTGCCTCTCATGCACAGGCCCTGGGTTCAATCCCTGGCCCCACACATATGCAAAAAAAGTAAGGGCTATGGATATGGTTCAGTGGTAGAGCAATTGCCTAACATGCAATTACCTAGCATGCCCTGGGTTTGATCCCTAGTACCATAGAAGAAAATTAAAATAAATTTCAAATTTAAAAATATTTCCATTCAATGAAATATCTTACTGATAAACTAGAATTGTGAAACAAAACTTACATTTCTCAGTTGGCACTCTATTTCACTGATTTTTTTTTTTTAACAGGAAAGTTCTAAAAACCAACTATAGAAAAATTAGTCTTTGCTTTTTAACTAAAGCCTATAAATGAAGAAATTTCTCCAACTTGAAAACCAAGATTCCAGGCTGGGGTTGTGGCTCAGTGGTAGAGCGCTTGCCTCACACATGTGAGGCACTGGGTTCAAACCTCAGCACCACATAAAAATAAATTAAGATATAAAAAAAAAAAGAAAAGAAAACCAAGATTCCCAAGAAAACATCATTTCATAATTTCTGCTTTGTTCAGTAACCACGTATAGTATGGTTATGATATATATAGCTAAAAATAATGTAAGACAAATATTTACTTTAAAAATCATAGATTTTGTTTTTAAAATAAAATGAATGTCTTCCTTAACAGCAGTACCTACACTATTTTCCCCTACTTCTGAATTCTTATTACTATTAGCATCAATTCATTCGGTATGACCCTGTCATATATTTCTATTTATCCCACCCAGTGACAAGAACAAGCCTCACTACATGGCAAGGTGATCTGCCCACATACTTGTTGATGACGATTTTATTCCATTTATTATTTTGAGACCTGAGGCCAGACTTACCCAGAATTGAACTCTTATCTAATTCAAAAAAGGCATATCACCCCAGGAAATCTATTAGTAGTTGAAGTAAAGAATAAGTAAGAAACAAAATATAAAGCATACCTTTACAAAATGTCCTGAAACTACTACTTGAGACAGTTAGCCCTGTCTTGGAGTTTAACCTATGTGTTTATAAGGTAAGGGAAGTTTCATGTCCTTTATATTTTGAATCCTTAGTGCCTACCATAATTCCTGGTATGTATTATAATAAAGTTTCAAAAAAATTTTTAATGAGAACACATTAAAGATTGAGAGATAAAATAAAACAATGAATTATAACATATTTGTAAGCATTCTTTTTTTTTTGTAAGCATTCTTGATAGCTTTAATGAATGTGATTTTTTTTTTTTCTCTTTAATACTGGAGTTTCAGGGCCTTGCACATGCTAGTCAAGTCCTCTACACTCCCAGTCCTTTTTATTTTGAGTCAAGGCCTCACTAAGTTGCTCAGGCTGGCCTTGGAACTTGCAATCCTCTGCCTCAACCTCTCACATAGCTGGGATTAGAGGTATACGCCATCATGCCCAATGGACATAGATATTTTAAAATTTTGAAAGGGATATCCTATGAGGACCAAAATGTTAGCTCACTAACATCCTGACCCTGTGTCACCTTAGGAGACACTTTTTGTTCTCTTCAGCCATTAAAAAGGAGGTAGCCTCCATAATCATAAATGTGGTTTATCCAGGCTGAGGCTTATCCATTCTTTTCACTCCATATGTGTTGACCCTTGTGATTTTCCCAAATGTGGAAAACTGAACTGCATAATTTGCTATAGTAGGGGGGCTCCTCTCACTCTCAAAAAAAAAAAAAAAAGTTATCCTATTGAAAACCCTGATACCTTGATAATTACTTTCCTTCTGCCTGAGTATGAAGACTTTGATTTTTAGCAATTAAAATTGATGACAGAACTAAAAAAAAAAAGTTTGAATTAGAGTTGATATTTCACAAATTGTTTAATAGTTACAGCTTTAGACAGTAAACTTTGAAGGACATGGTCAAGTGAATAGAAAAAGCTAAGTTTTATCTTTCAATTAACCACCAACACTTTTTGGCTTACCAGAGTCTAACTTGGGTAAGCTATTCATGCTCATCTATTCCTACAAGGGTAAAATCTCTCTTCATTGAATTAAGGCAGTACATATTATTATATCCCTTTATATTTGAAAGAGTTGAGGCACTGAAAGGGAATCAACTTTCTTTTAAGATCAATAAATAGTACTGAGCAGATTCAAGTTTTTGATCCAAGTCTAGTGTTCTTTTCTCTACCATAATGAATTATTGTGTTTATGTGTGAACACAGAAAGCTGTATTGAATCAATAATTTTCATCCCTGGCTGCACATCAGAATTACCTGGGGAGATTTTAAGGCACAAAAAAATGTTTGGGCCACATCCTAAATCAATTAAGTCCAAAAATCTGGGGTGGAGGGCCTATCCACCAGTTTTGTTTAAATTATCTGAGTCATCCTCATGTGTAGCTAAGATTGAGAACCACTGAACTAATTGCCAAACTCCTTTCATGTTCAAAATTGTTATGTATTCTGAATGCTTATTTATCCCTTATCTCCAAGATATATATCCCCCCAAAATATTGTTTTCATAGTGTGGTGCAGTAATACTTTAATCACTAGTATAAACTACCAAGACATTAGATTTTTCAGACAAAAGCATATTCTTGCAAAAAGATATTTTTAAAACAAACCATATTATAGTTAAAATTATTAAATTATTAGTAGAACTAGTTTCAAGTAGTCAGTGGCATTAAATGAAGAGAAAGTAAAAAAGAATTCTTGGCAACCATGGAATGATGGAGCTCATAAGTGCTAAATTAAAACTTGCCCATGGAGACATGTCCATTTTGGCTACCCAGAATGCAAACACTGAGCTTAATCAGACTTAATTGCAAATTAAGGAGCAGGAAAAATGAAGGCAGGGCAGTTTAGAAAACATATTCCCTTTCTTACTCCTTGATAGCTAGGATTTGGGCAAGTGAACTGTGCTTAACCAATTAAGTACCAATGTCCTCTCCAGGTTTTGAATTTTGAGTCTCAAAATTCCAGAATTGCTGGGTCAAGAATCCTGAGTGGAGCCCAGCATCATAATGGCAGATATCCAGTGACAAAAAATTCAATATCAACAAGTGTTTTAGAAGTTAGGCATATCCAAAGCAAACTTCCTGTGGCATAGTCCTAGTAGGGCCTTTTCTCTCCTGTCTATATAACCTTCCTGACAATTCTAGAGTACTCCTGATACACTTCTAATAAAATTATTTTCAGTTAAAAGTAACCAGAGTCAGTTTTATTGATTGTAACTGAGACACCTGAACAGTATACATTTTAAAGACTGCAAAAATAAAATCATTTACCACATTATACAAGTTGGATACGTGATTGTATTAATTTTCTCATTAAACAGTCATTGGAAAATAGACAAGTAGAATTCGAGAATCATCATTCCCAATTTGTTAAAATTATGTTTTCAATCCTGGTGCAGTGATGCACTCCAGTAATCCCAGCAAGTTAGGAGGCTGAGGTAGGAGGATTGGAAGATCCAGCCAACTTATCCTGGGCAATTTAGCAATGCTGCCTCAAAATATAAAGGATTGGGGATGTAACTCAGTGATAGAGCACTCCTGGATTTGGTTCCCAGTACCATTATTTTCTTCTCCTTTTAGTTTGTGAATGTATTTTTCAATAGCAACTATTTAAGTGACTAAAATTGTTAAGAGGAAAAAACATAATTTCCCACCCTAGAGTTGTCTATAACATCCCCAGTGAAGAAGCATGTAAACTCAGTAATTTGACTTATATAATATCAGAAGAGTATTTTAAGACAAATCAAGAAATATTCTGTTCCCTTAGGTCTGGAGTCCACCATTTTTTCAATCTTTTTGTAGGCTTCTGTCCTGGATCCGGAGCTCAGGTTTCTGTGCTATGCAGAATCTGAAAACAAACCACAGGGAGAATGCTGAGAACCCTGAAAGCCAGGAAATGGCCAGGGTAATGACTCCTGCGCGGGTTGGGCTCTGGCTGACACCTTGAAGATCCAGGAGGTGGAGAGCACCATGAAGATTCTACGCATAGCCACACACAGCTGCGGGCTGGGGCTCAAGGAGAGCACACTGGCCAAGCAGGCAGCCGCAGTCAGGTCTACTTTTGTTAAGTGGCAACTGTACCAAGTCCCAGCACTTACAGCATGTGACCTCATAGAAGAGTTAGTCAAAAGCAAGAAGATGGCAGTAAGAGCCATGCTATGGGCGGGACCCCTGGGAACTGGAAAGGTCCTTGTGTTCTGGTTGATTTTTGCTGCCCAAGAGGATGATCCTCACATGGAAGCCAAATAGAATTCACATCTTAAATAGTCTTTGTTTAGCGACGTGGGTCACATGTGTGTTTAAGAAAGTAATCTGACCTCAAACTCATAATTCTAGAATGAAAATCATCCTGACCAGAGGGAGGGGAAAGTCCTGAGAAGGGTCTGGTCGTTGGGATGGTCCTTGAACTCTTTCAAGTCTCCTTTGCTTGGGAAATGCATCTCTTTTTCTTTTCTTTTCTTTTCTTTTTAAACCAGTGATTGAACTTTGGGGCACTCAACCACTGAGCCACATCCCTTTCTTGTATTTTATTTAGAGCCAAGGTTTTGCTAAAGTTGCTAAGGGCCTTGCTAAATTGCTGAGGTTGGCCTCCAACTCGTGATCCTCCTGCCTCAGCCTCCTGAGTGGTAGGATTATAGGTGTGTACCACCATGCGCAGCTGAAAATCCATTTCTGTTGGTCCAGGGCCTCCTAAAAATTTGTGACAAGCCGTGGCTTGGCTCAGTGGTAGAGCACTCACCTCGAACTTATGGGACCCGGGGTTCAATCCTCAGCACCACATAAAAATAAATAAGTGAAATAAATGTATTTTGTCAACTACAACTAAAAAATAAATATTAAAAAATTAAAACAAAGATATTATGTCCATGCACAATTAAAAAGAATATTTTTTAAAAATCAAGAATGTTGTTTTATTGTTTCAGGCTAAACTGACAAGAATTTACAATACCATTGCTTTGAATTTTTTTTTAACTGAACCCAGGGGTACTTTACCCCTGAATTACATACATCCCCACCCATATTTATTTTTCACCTTGAGACATGGTCTTGCTAAGTTGCTTAGGGCCTCCCTAAATTGCTGAGGTTGGCCTTGAACTTGTAATTCTCCTGTCTCAACCTCCTGAGTTGCTGATATTACATTCCTGTGCCACCTCACCCCACTGTATTCATTTTTAAAATTTTTATTTACTCAGAGATAGTGTCTCCTTTGGCTATGTTGACCAGGTTGACTTTGAACTCTTGATCCTCCTGCCTCAGACTCAGAGTAGCTGGGATGACTCTGAGTTTTGTCTTTTGAGAACAGAGAGGCTAAATCATTTAGACTGCTTAATTGACTGAATACTCCAAACCTTGTAATTAAGTAATAAAACAGTGTGCATGTGGTGTTTGCAGTTGCAGTTGTTGGGTCTGTGCTATCTATTAGTTACTCGGTTGTGCTGTTTGTAAATAACATACTGTCTAGCTGTCTTTTGGTTCAGATGATATGCTGTTCAAAAATAATCTCAAGGGACACCAAAAATCTGAGGACTAAAATCCTTGTTCTGACTTTATAGAGATTTCAGCTTAAAATTTTCTGACTTATATGCTTTGTCTTTCTGTTTTTACTTGTTTTCCTCCGTAGATAGTCAATGAATGAAATGGCATATGAGCAAAACACTGATTTATAGTTGGTGATGGGGTCACAATGACCCTAAACAAAGAAAGTTAGTAACTTAAGTAATATTAGCTCTCTATATTACC